ATTCTCTGCTTTCAGCTAAGATCCATGTAGCATCAGCTACAATATCCCTAGTACCACGACCCCTTCTAAACCCAGCCTGGACTTCTGGCAGTTCTCTGATGATGTACTGTTCCAGTTGTTTTTGGATAATCTTCAGTAGAATCTTGCTTGCATGTGATTCAAAATCAAGAAAGGGGTCCATCAGGGAGATATTTTGTCTCCATACCTATTCATTCTGTATGCAGAACAGATCATCCGAGATGCTAGGCTCGGCTATACGAGGTGGAATGTGGCATCAGTATTGGTGAAATATATCAACAACCTGTGTTATGCGGATGACACAACCCTGCTTGCTGAAACTGAGGGGAACATGAACCGTTTGCTGCACAAGGTCAAGGACTGCAGCGTCCTATATGGATTGAAGATCAACATCAAGAAAACAAAGATTCTCAACACTGGGTCAATTTGTAGCATCAGTATGGATGAAGAGTTTGAGATAGTTAACAGTTGTTAACATGTTGTTGTTTTTGTTATGTGCCGTCGAGTCACCTGCAACTCATAGTGACCCTAAACCATAAACTCTGCTCTATTCTGTTGCAATCTCACTGTCTCCGAAACACCTACCCCTAATACCCCAGTGACTGAATCAATCCACCTTATAGAGTGTCTTTCTCTCCTGAGCTGTCCCTCCACCTTTCCAAGCATGACATCCTTCTCTGAAGATTGGTCCATCTTTGCAAAATGTGCAAAGAATGTGAGATGAAGCTTCAGAATCTTTGCTTCCAAGCAGCAGCCTGGTTTAACCTGTTTGATTTCTTAGCAGTCCACGGTATATTCAGTACTCTTTCCAATATCAAAGTTGAAAGGCATCAATTCTCCTTCTATCCTCCTTAAACCTTGTCCAACTCTCTGATGCACAGCAAGTGATTGCAAAGACCATGGCCTGTATCAGATGCACCTTAGTCTCCGGAGTAACACCATTGATCTTCAGTATTTTGTAGAGGTCCCTAACAGCAGACTTTCCCATCATAATGTGTCTTTTAATTTCCTGACTGCTGGTTGTCAAGAGTGTTGGCTGTGAAGCCAAGCAAACTAAAGCTGTTAACAATCTCAATCTCTTCCCACCCATCCTGATGCTTCCAATTGGCCCATTGGTGAGAATCTGTGTCTTTCTGATATTGAGCCTCAATCCATATTGAAGACTGTAGTCCTTGACTTTGTGCACCAAGTGCTTCAGGTTCTCTTCAGTTTAAGATGTAATGTAAT